GTTGTCCAGGTGTTAAGCTAGACCCAGACCATGATTGTCCTTCCTTGGCATGACTATTGTCCAGGTGTTAAGCTAGACCCAGACCATGATTGTCCTTCCTTGGCATGAATGTTGTCCAGGTGTTAAGCTAGACCCAGACCATGATTGTCCTTCCTTGGCATGACTATTGTCAAGGTGTTAAGCTAGACCCAGACCATGATTGTCCTTCCTTGGCATGAATGTTGTCCAGGTATGAAGCTAGACCCAGACCATGATTGTCCTTCCTTGGCATTTCTATTGTCCAGGTGTGAAGCTAGAGCCAGACCATGATTGTCCTTCTTGGCATGACTATTGTCCAGGTGTGAAGCTAGACCCAGACCATGATTGTCCTTCCTTGGCATGACTATTGTCCAGGTGTTTAGCTAGACCCAAACCATGATTGTCCTTCCTTGGCATGACTATTGTCCAGGTGTTTAGCTAGACCCAGACCATGATTGTCCTTCCTTGGCATGACTATTGTCCAGGTGTTAAGCTAGAGCCAGACCATGATTGTCCTTCCTTGGCATGAATGTTGTCCAGGTATGAAGATAGACCCAGACCATGTTTGTCCTTCCTTGGCATGACTATTGTCCAGGTGTGAAGCTAGACCCAGACCATGATTGTCCTTCCTTGGCATGACTATTGTCCAGGTGTGGAGCTTGACCCAAGCCTTGATTGTCATTGCTTGGTACGACTCTTGTCCGGATACAAAGCGTTACACAGGCTTTAATTGTCCCTGACTGACGTGACTGACAAAGCTAAATTATAGATCAGGGCCGACCTGTTGTAAACCCCGCGAGCATAGGTGTGGTGCGGACAATCAAAGAGATATAATCAGGACAAAGCTGGGGACGAAAGCACAACCGCGATGCATTTACAACTGCTAGTTTTGAAAAAACTATCTTTGATACGCGACGTTTTTCAAGCTGCTGACCTTGAACATTCAGAGGTGCCAACCGTAGCCTGTACACCTGGGGCAGGTCATGTATGTCTTATGTGGTGATAACATCAAATGTAATGGGTCATATTGCTTCGATGCGTATTTAAAAGGAAGTCAATAATCATTTAGCATAATACTAAGATCACATGTCCAAACATGTGACAGCTATTACATCTCACAGATTTGTTTGAGAAGAGGGTGTTGTCACGGGTGGTCCAGTCGTCTAAGGTGCCGCGATTCGCTGTGCAGAGCTGCGTCCCTTGCGCACGTTAGAAACCTATGATTCTGGGTTCGAATCCCGGTTCGCCCCGATTATGTTTCTAGGTTTGTCAGCACCATACCCTTGCTTGTTGGTTTCACCGAAGTGGTAGACTTTTGAGACCTGCATCACTTCACACTAAGCTGACACGCCGCGATATAACTGAATATTGTAAGAAGAGTGAGACTATATCCGGTGCGGATATCATTCAATGATTTTGCAATATTACCATATATAGTATCAAAAAGTCCACGTGCCAAACACTTAAATATGGGAACTCCTGAATACTCATTTTGTTTCTAAGCGAATGAGGTATGGCAGCCAACATAATTAAATATGATTATATGTTATGTTCTTAAGGGATTTCTGTAGCTCTTATTATATTGTGTTTTATCTCTTGCACCAAGGGGCCTTTCTCATCCCCTTCTTGTTCTTTATTGTGACCTGTGGCCTGCCGCTGTTCTTCCTGGAGATTTCAATCGGCCAATTTGCTGCAAGAAGTAATACACACATCTGGGGTGTGTGCCCGATCTTTAAAGGTATACATCGCGAAAAATTATTTAACATATGCATCTACCAAATCTTATTGCCAGCTATGTATTCAGAAATTATGATTACTCGATGTTTTAGATCTGCACAGTTTCTCTGGTCCCGATGTCCTACTATTGTTTGTTTGTTATTTAACGCTGCATTGAGCAATATTCCAGCTGTATGACGACAGTCTGCAAATAATCGAGTATGGGCCAAACAATCCAGTGGATGACGTCATGACCATTGATCTATGCAATTGAGACACGATGACATGCATCAACCAAGTCAGCAAACCTGACCATCCGATCCCGTTGGTAGCCTCTTACGACAAGCATAGTCGCCTTTTACGGCAGACGTGGATTCCTGAAGACCTGTTCTAACTCGGATCATCCCGGGTAAAGATGATGTCCTAGAGTCGGAAATAACGAAGTTCACAAAATCACTCTAGGCGCAACCATTGTATTAATGACGTCATTTTTCTAACTCAAAAGGATTCAGACATGAAGGGTAATAATAAACTTATTACAGGCGCCATTACAGGTTATACTGATTTACGAAAGTCGTGTAAAAATTCACGTATGACCCTCACACTCGCTCGAGACATTGTGCATTCAACATTGTTTACGTAATGCAAAGACCATTATTGCCACAGGACAGTAAATATTGTTGCAGTAATGAAAGGCCTTTATTGCCACAGGACAGTAAATATTGTTGCCGTAATGCATAGTCTTGACAGGATAATCCGTCATTCCTCGTCACGAGCAGTTTATTGTATTTATTACCGATCGTCAAAATTAAAGATGAGAAGCTAAATAGAAAGACCTACATTCACCCTAATGAGAAAGGCGAAGTAACGTTTTGTCATAAACCTACGCATGTGGAACAACTTCAAATTCCTGGAATTTCACCGAAGTACAGGGCAATCACATAATGACTACACGATAGTAGTTCGATTGAAACGTATCTATATCTTGGAATATTAAACCTAATATTCCGCTATTAAGCATTGATAGTCATTTTGCTTTCATGTATTATAAACATTAAGTAATTCACAGTAGGTGACACAGGATATTTGATAAATAATCAAACACGTGCAGTTTACTTCAAACCTTCAGTGATCGTCTTTGCGCAAACAGCCGGCTAACATCACTTCAGAGTGAAAATGAACCAAATCTTGCTTTTTCTACAATGTCAAGTCACATAAATTGCATACAAGGATGTTTATGTGAGCAAATGTTTGAAAATATCTGTCCGTTTCAAATATAAACACTGGGAAGGAGCGCAACCCTGACCTCGAAGTCATCAGTGTTTTTGCAGCACGGAACAAACTTCCGGTTTCCGTTCATAAATGTATGAAAACCAGGCCAACGGAAAAAGAGTGCACTAGTGTACACTTATTCTGATTCGGACGATGTCTCTACGTTACGGCGACATTTGGAAGGAGTGTGTTCAACGGCAGACTGGACAAACTTGCAATGTTAATTTCGAATACACCGCCGTAAACTTGACCGGAAAAGAGTGTGTGTATCACATCGGCATTTGTGTACTGTGAATTGGATGACAAAACCACGTCATGTTTCTGTACCGATGAAGACACGGGGGCCACGTTAGAGTTACAAATAGCAGTGGAGAGTGCGTTCAAAGCCTCTCCAGATCTGGGACACCCGCTGGTGTTCGTTACCCCATAAAACGGATCATCCTTACCAGAAAAATTGCTTGGTCTCACATCTCGGTAAAACTTACACAAAGTGATGACCGGGCAACAGGCGACATCATCGGGTTGGGCCCAGGCTCTCCGACCCAAGTGGGGTCGACACCGGTTCGGGTTTTCGGTTGCCGTTCCACTTACTCAAATTTCTCAGGATAAAGTCGTCCTCCTGTGTTGAGTAGTGCGTTCAACCATGATGTGTCCAATATGGATTGCGATGACCTCCTACCGAGTTGGCCTGCATGTTTTAGTTGTTGGATTTCATGGTCAGAAATAGCCTCAGCTCAGTCAGGTATTTTTCCTTTCCCCTGGTTCTTTAATGATTCAGTTTTAGACTCAATGACATTCCCGAATTTTGAAAATTCTATGGAACATGAAAGAATAAAGCCATAGTGTTTCCGCTTCTAATGTTGTTCAAACTTTCCCTTAATACAAAAAGTGAGCTCGGATCGTATTCAGACCCATCTTTTTTGTCTCCCCCCCAGTGAAATATTTGCATAAGGACATGTTCAGTTCAAAGGGAGGGATGTTGCGCATTCACTTTATCGGCAAGGAAGGATCTCACAACCTTCATATTCAGCGTAGTTTTGTTTAATTGTGTTGACTTCATTGACTTCTACAAACCCTGTGGCTTGTTTAGCAGTGTCAGGGGTATCATGAGGGCCAGCCAGGAAATCGGTAGTCGCTAATTCATCCACAAAACGACTGATCTAGGCCGAGGCTTAGGTTAGGGGTATGGCAGACATTGAACACACTGTTTCTTGAAGAACATGTAGCCGCCCGATCTCTGTTTTGACAATAAACACGTCGAAATTGTTCAATCATTGTATAATGTTTACAACTCTTCCAACCACATTTGACCTGATCATTCAATCTTATCGGAGAAAGTATTGTGGCCATGTTTGTTTACGTCCCCTTTACTTCGACTACGAGGTAGCAGACGATTATTGAAGCAAATTTACTGTGTTAATCCTTGACAACCATAGGCGTTGGCAACAAGTGTAAACGGTTATATTTAATGGTAAATGAAAAAAAATATATTCAGTAGAGTTTTTGATGTGTGTGGTTTGTTCATTGAAAAAGGTGATTGAATCTATCAATGAATGGGTAAATTACATGTAGTTCCGGCAACTAATCAAATGACAGCGTTTCTGAAACAGCCATTCGGCAAGGGAGGTTACAGGAGATGTACTAACCCGCATCTCTCTTCCCGTATAGGTAATAATAGGTCTTCAGCAACCTATGCTTGCCGTAAAAGCGACAATGCTTGTGGTAAGAAGCGACTAACGGGATCAGGTGGTCAGACGCGCTGATTAATGTCATCGTTTTCCAGTTGCGTAGATCGATGCTCATGATGTCAATGACTGGAATGTCTGGTCCAGACTCGATTATTTACAGACCGCCGTCATAAAGCTTGAATATTGGTCAGTGCAGCCTTAAACAACAAACAAACAAACAGTATCAGTGTGCTCAGAGTTTATCTGTATCTATGCACTTTCCTCGAAAAATATTAGTATCTTAAAAATGTAATCTTTTCCCTACGTTTGTGAGGGGCATCACCTGCACCTAATTACTGAGTACTAAACCAACCATGCATATCCTCATGATTTCAACAGGCATCGGCATCGGACAGTTTGTTGCCTGCACAATTACGATCATCTACTACCAGACAATCTTAGCCTGGTCAATCTACTACCTGGTTATGTCATGTGCTTCTGTACTTCCCTGGACAACATGTGACAATACGTGGAACACAGAGTCATGTCTAGAGGAAGCTCGGGGAAATATCACCTACAACAACACGCATCTGCATGATGGGGCATCTCGGCAGTTGTTGAACACAAGCACCAAGCAACTTTTTAACAGAAGTGGCAGTCAACTGTTTCATGCAAATATCAGTACTAACACTGAAGGAGATTCACAGTTTACTTTTGCCCATACGGATGTTGAAGAGTTTTGGCAGTATGTCATTTCTTTCAAATTGATCACAATAACACACCAGTAAGACGAGAAGTCTCGTACATGTATACATGTATGCCCTACCAAAACATTATTCAAACAATACAACAAGATCTGATATTGTTGTTCCACATATAGTATTAGCTCGTCATTGAGATAGCTCCTGTAAATGACTATGATTTGAATGTTATGTTTTGTGCATAAAACATTGCTTTACACTTGAAGTAGCAAAACTGCTAAAGAACTGATGAGAGACTGAACCAGATCAACTCATGCCTACCTAGACATATTACTCCTGTTCTAAAAATATAAGTCTCGTCAACATTTTTCAGGTACAAAGTTCTTGGACTTTCAGGAAGTGTTCACCAAACCGGCCAGGTCCAGTGGCATCTAGCGCTGTCACTTTTTGCTTCGTGGGTTATCATATTTCTTTCCCTGATAAGAGGTGTCAAAAGTGTTGGAAAGGTATGTAAACAACGTTCAACATAATCATTACATGTTAACTTAAAGTAGCCCTGTGTGAGTTAAAACGAGGATCTGACAAACCTTATTCATCTATGAACACGTGTAGGAATAATTGAAAGCATATATCAATGGATACGAACAAATAATCAAGACATTAGTGAGCATGAGCGCGGTGCTTGAAGTGTAAGGTCACCTTGCAGAAGGCATTGTCCTGATCAAATACTGAATGAAATAATTAAAAGCTGAGACTTGGGGTCATGGGAAGGCGTGTGCGTGCGTGTATATATGTGTTTATGTGTATGTGTGTGTGTGTGGGGGGGGGGGGGGAATCATATCGTTTTTGAAAACACAGTTATGTATTTCACTGTTCAAGCGATAACGATGTCATGGAACTGTTTGCCTTCTTCTGCTCACTCACACACACACTTATGTCAAAGGCAATGGGTGTCTAAGTGAAAATGTTTGTATAACGTGATCTGATATGATTGCATACTACTTGTAAAGTGGGAAAACTGACCAATACTGATCTGACGGCCCTGTAATACAGGTGGCCTATGTGACTGTGTTCCTCCCCTACCTGCTGCTGATCGTCCTGCTGATCAGGACTCTGCTGCTTCCTGGAGCTGTGGACGGTGTTGTCTTCTATCTGAAAGCAGATCTCACCAGACTCCTAGATCTGCAGGTGACCTGTCAGTTGTGTAATGCCAATGTAGTGCATGCACTAGACAATATACATATGTATCGTCGACGCCAGAGTATAAAGAGTCTGCCGCGTGATCATATCAATGGATAAGAGCAAAAACAGTAATGACACCAGGTGTTCGTAAAGAATGTACAGAATGATCTACTGAATAGTTATGACAATGATATTAATGTCAAATTTTGATACCTGTTTACTCCTTACTTACCGGTACATGTTTTTTTAAATGAAACTTGAGTTTTGTTTTTTGTACAAGAGATTTCTCATGGTTGTTACGCACGGACTCTCATACTGCTGAATTATATCATCGTATCGTAGGCGTGGAAATGAATATGACACATGCTTCATACTTACACATATGTTTATATCTAACACTGTAGCAGTGTTTTATGCATGCTTGATTGTTTATCGCCAGGTGTGGTTGGAGGCACTGGTGCAAGTGTTCTACTCACTATCACCGGGCTGGGGAACCATTATTGCAATGGCTAGTTACAACGAGTTTCACCACAATACCTTACGGTAAATGTATAATGGCAAATCTAAACAAGGGGAAATGTTTACAATGCAAAAGAAAAGACTTCCCTAGACAAGAAATATACATACTCTACATCATGAACCCACAGTTATACATATAAGTGCCTTCAGATTTGTGCTGTGATATGCTCTGAACCATCTTCTGATATGTGCTCTGAACATGAGTGAGTGATTGAGTGGGGTTTAAAGCGGCCTTTGGCAACATTCCTGCAGTATCAGGGCGGGGGACACCAGAAATGGGCTTCACACGTTGTACCTAGTCGGGCATCGAACCCGGGTCTTTGGCGTGACGCTTTAACCCCTAAGCTACCCGACCGCCCCGCTCTGAACATGAATAATATTAACGCTTTTACCTTCGTCCAAAGATTCCTGAAAACTATAATAGATTGATGTATTGATATCAGGAACTCTGTTGTGCTGACCTTCTGTGGTGAGGGTACAAGTCTGTTCTCGGGTCTGGTGATCTTCACGGTTCTCGGGTTCATGGCCAGAACTGCTGGAGTTGGAGTTTCAGAACTAGCATCTTCAGGTGAGTGGTTTTAGACGAGTAGCATCTTTAGGTGTGCAGCCGTCCACAAGGACCATCATCAGGTGACTGCACTTCTACAAAAGGCTAGTCGATTAGTTTGCAATTCTGTACGTTATGTTCAGTAAATGTAAAAGCAGTATATATTGTAAATGCTTGTAGAGTGCAAGAGTAGATGAAAGTCGGAGGTAGAGTATGCAAGGTTAGATTGACAGTGTAATAACAGTACTACTGCCGTTATGAATAGACAATGCCTTTAAACAGCATAGCTTCTTGCGTTTACCAGTGGTACTGGTCACATTATACCATGCACACCTCCCGCTGGTCCGAATACGTTGATGGAAACTACTGAGAAGATGAAGTAAGTTTGACATTCACAGCAACGAGAGAAATTCCCGACCCTTATTTCATGAAAATATTTAAATAGGAATAAAAACGCATATATTTTGAGGAAAAGTGTATCGTTATGTAAACTCCTAAATCTTTCAAATATATATACATTTTGCAGTAATTATCAAAGAAGCTATGCCTTCCTTTGAAAAATAAGGACGCAGGTTGTAAAGAATACATGGAAGGGAAATACAAATAAAAACAATAATTTACAGATAGAGCGTGTTTAGTTTATATTCATTCTATATAAATGATATGATAATATCACATCTGAAAACTATTTTTGAAACAAATATGAAACATTATGCTCTTTGTAAAATATGGTACATACTTTGCAAATATCTCATCATTTGCATTTCCTTGTTAAGTGAATAATTGTATTCATTTACCCTTCATATATCATGCCACTCGACTTCAGATTTAAGAACTGAAAAGGATTCTGTATGATTTTTCACTTCGACTTTTATTTGTGGAATATTCAAATGCTAGAAAAGACTAAATCACTGACACGAACATGACCTGACGAAATAGGGGCTGAGCTGACTGAGTTTACAACATTATTGCATTGGGAGGGTACTCCAGGGATGACGCCGCATGCTAGTATACAAAGGTAAACAACTCCTCTCTGGAGTATGAACAAATATCAACTGTCCTTGGGTTATCCAAAAGGCCACGGTGATGACTATAACTTGCAGTCAACTTACGCTTTTGTCCTTCCCTTGAATTGGGAAAAGGCGTGTTGTTTCCTACTTGTTTCAGCAGCGAGTCGGGTTGGAATGGTATCGCGGTTAACAATATTTCTGACTCGCAATCTGTGATGATTCGTCTTCTTGAAGTGCCGTTTCGAATCACACAGTTCAACAAAGTAAGATGGCAGTTTTGGAAAGTAAAGCAGATTGTTATGTGAAACAGATTTTCTCTTGCACATGGTGCTATCAAGTTTATTCAGGGACTACAACAATGTTAGCTTCTTCAGACTGGTCCGGAACAATTGTAAATTCCGATTGTACCTTGCAATGACCTTCGGCTACCCTCGCTTTGAGAGGGATATTTAGGATTTACAATAATTATATCGTTAAGATTGATTTGTGGAAGTGGGCATAGGTGTTCACGAAGAGGTGGGCGTATCAATGACACACTTTACAAACACATGCAAAGACAAGTCAAGCATAAAAATGGGTAATTGCATCGACATCATTTAGATCACTGATATGTCAGATTTAGAAATGTCTGTGCAGAAAGGACATGTTGTGCAATGTAGACACGGGCTGCTGGAATACTGCTCGACAAAAAGGAAACGTTGAAAAAGATTGTCTTTTTCACTTTGAATCTAAATGCAAAAATGGAAAAATGGAACATGTGGTGTGTTTTAGTGGCCTCTTTCATTTCTAGTTTAGATGGATAATTCAATGAAAGGGAGATGACTATTTGACCTTTATTGAAAGGTCTCAGATGAAGAGTAAATTATATTTCCTGCAGTTCCGATTTATACGCATAAAGACACAAGTCAGCAAGGAGGGCAACACAATGGCTGTCCATGTGAAGGCTTGCTTCTTGCTTAACATGTCCAACATGGCTTTCAGGTCCTGGTCTGGCGTTCGTGGCGTACCCTGGAGGGCTGTCTCAACTACCCCTGCCTCAGCTTTGGTCCTTCCTGTTCTTCTTAATGATGCTGACAGTTGGACTGGATTCTCAAGTAAGGCCATGTACATTCACACACACGCGCGTGCTCATAGACACAAACACACAGACACACGCAGGCACACACACAGACAAACAGATACACATACACTGCTGTTTACACCCAACACATTGGAAGAAAACCCTTTTCTCAAAATATGGCAAAAACAAGCTGTGGCAAAATAAAACATAAACTTCGAATTACTCTTCTTACCGTCCACCCGTAACAAGAAAACACATGATCATCAATGTAACATTTAGTCCCCATGATCATGAACATAATATCGTTTAGGTTCCTTGTCGTAAATTGAGTGTATTTCATATTGCGCAAATATCACTCTTTGTCAACATTGCAGTTTACCTGGGCGGAATGTCTGATAACCAACGTGATTGACCAGTTCCCAGCAGTGCTAAGGAAGCGGCGAATCCTGGTCACAGCCGTGTTCTGTACAGTCTACTTTCTTCTGGGTCTGCTCTTCACAACAAATGTAATGAAGTCTATAAATGTATCTTTCATCAGTTTGCTCTGTTCTGTGGGGTGTACATGTTGATCGTAAACATGACTCTAAACGAATGATGCCATGCTAATACGTGCACCTGTTACTTATAAGGTCCATAGCTGTCGTTATTTTATGGTCGCCTCTGCAGATTGGAACAACAATTTGTGGATGCACATGTTCATAAAAGTTGCTGCCTGATAGAAAGCCAGGCTATAGGTGATCGCCAGGAGCCACAGCCAGTTGAACACACTGACTAGTCAATGGTTGGGATGGTAATTTGCTTTGGTGAATCATTGAATGCCTTCCAAGGTCTTTAAACAAGCTGAACATATCTTAACGATCCGTTTGTAATGAAAATAATGTTAACATCGTGAACTGAAGGTAAAAGCTTATCAAACAGTTAAAGGTAACGGACAGATCACTTGGATTGTTCATGTTGCCGTGGCGTTGTTGTAAAGGGGAGGAATCTATTATTTCCAACTTGCCGACTGGTACACGGGTGCTGTGGGCATTTTCCTGTTTGGCATATTGGAGTGCATCATTTTCATGTGGATATACGGTAGGTGTACACTAGAACAACACTGAATGCTATGTCTACCACATCTACAGCAACCCAAGTTTGTCGGGTTGATAACGTCATCGGGTTGTCAGGCTCATTGCATTGGTTGATGCATCGTAACTCAATTGCGTAGATCGATGCTCAAGATGTCAATCACTGGACTGTCTCGTCCAGACCGGGTTAAATACAGACACAATACAATACAATAGATTATATGATATAACAATTATTCTTCGACCTGGCATTACAAGTACCAGACCATTATGTAGGGTATTAATATTTCTTTTGCATGTCTAAATTGCGTAACCTGGAGTTACTTGTATCCTTCTTAACCTATTCGCAGGCTCCAGGAGATTCAGTGATGACGTGGAGTTGATGCTGGGCAGGAGAGTCCCTATGTTCTTCAACATGCTGCTGGGCTATGTCACGCCTTTACTTCTTACCGTGAGTTAGTGAGTGAATGAGTTGGGTTTTAACGGTTATATCACGGCGTGTCAGCTTTAAGCCCGAAGTGATGCCACATTACTGAAACTACGGGTATGGGTATCGTGACGCAAAACCTAGAAACATAATCGGGGCGAACCGGGATTCGAACCCACAGTCATAGGTTTCTGGCGTGCCGTAGGGACGCGACTCGTGTACGACTTTGCCACCAGTTCCCCATCTGTTGCTTTGCCTTTATATTGGGAACCTAAAGCTTGATAACTAGTAATCGTATTTCTAAGGTTAATTTACACATTATATCAACTGAAAACACGTTTAGCTAAACTGAAATTGGAAACGCTAATATAAAACCAGATAACCTGTACTGGGCAAAGATTAACCTGTTACTGGATATATGTTTGAAATCACCCGAACATATTCATTGGTGTGACTTGATAGATATATGGGAGAAGTTGCAATGCAATGAAATCTAATTTCACAACTATGGCAATATGTACGGACACTAACATCTGATAGTAACGCACTGATGGTTCGGTTTTCAGACAATTAATGCTCCTTTGTTGGGGCCATACTCAGTAATATTCCAGCAGTAGGGTGCTGCTGGTAAATATTCGAGTGTGGACCAGACAATCCTATGATTGAAAGTTTGAGCAACAATCCATACTGCTTGGGTAGAACAACACACACCACCCCATCCATTAAGTCGCCTCTTACGACAAGAGTAGGTTCCCAGGAACCAGGCATAAGTTAGAATCTTGTTCACTTCTACATTTCGCCTAGAGGGTTCTCAGTAGGCTGTTTTACCGTTACTCTGTATTGTTCTGGAAGCGGATCCTTCCAAACTATATACTATGTTATGACGCCCTAAACGTGAAATCTCACAGGGTATTAAATATGCATTGGTATTTTGATAACAATTTGAAAAGTGTATTCATAAACAATGAGAATGTACAACACAGTATTCCAATTACACGTCATCCAAGTATTGCCACCACGAGGGTGTGGTGACATATATGTAAGATACTTTAATCAAGACACTAAGTCTTGTAAGAAGTATTGACAAAACTGTTGACAATCGTTGCGTTTGTGCATTGGTTTACAGGTGGAAACAGAATAATTAATGTCTGTTTTCATGAAACCTCACAAAATATGTTGTCTATTCACCTTGTCCTGAGATCGACCCCTGTCTTCTCACCGTCCGTCTCAGCTAAAATGATCAGTGTCAAACTACTGTACAGAGGAGATAATTCCGTTCACTTGTTCAAACTATTAGTACGACCAGCGCCTAAAATGTTCCTACGCTAATATATCTAACTGTTTTTCTTTTCTTCTGCTTAAATTCAATGATTATGTATCAAAGTATTGCATTTACTCATATCATATCATCTATATGATTAATTCTGGTTTTGTTTCCCTGGCAGGGAACAATTTTTAAATGTCTCATTGTTTGATAGATGGGGCGGGGAACGGAATGCACAGTCGTCTAAGAAGTTGTTTCCGTTAGTTGTGTCAGGATCCATGAATATAGTTGGTTTGAAACCCGGTTTGATTCGACCTGGTTATGTTCCTTGATTTGGTATCCCTCAAATTAATTTGAAACATTACGAAAGAACTGAAATACTGTTCAAACATCACAAAAACGTGTTATGCTGTGAGTTGAGCTTTTGTTTTATTGCGAGAGAATAAAAACAATGGCTGCCTATTTTCCAGATCGCCTTGTTCCTGGTTCTGTGGCAGTTCAAACCACCGACCTATGGCGACTATCAGTACCCCTGGGTGTGCAGGATAGCAGGGTGGATCTTAGCCTCCTTGCCTGTCATTCCTGTACCTGTCATTGCGGCTGTCACCGTGTACAAGGCCAAAGGGTCCTTCATCGAGGTTGGTACAAATTACTGATATCATATTCTGATATTTCTAGGAAAGTGCTATTGCTTTGTAGCTTGCCTTATTTGCAATATTCATAACAACATGCTGGTGATTGCTTCGTGTACTATTATCTTGTGTCCTTAGAACTGTGAATACAATTATAAAACAATAATAATACCACATTGTCAGTGAATGCCAAGCTTTGGCACAAAGTATCTGAAACGACATGATGGTGTGGCTCGAACATTGTATTACCGTCTTCGCCATGCTTGTGGTTTTGACGCAGGAGTCCATCCATGGTACGACCCAAGATATGAAGAGGGCGTACTGGAAAATGATAAATACAAACTTCTTTGAAATAGACCCGTATACAGCCTCAGACGTATCCATGCTGACAAACCAGATCTTTCTGATAAATCCAATGAAATCATTTTATATATTTGAATTTGCTGTAACTTTTGGCACTAATGTGATAGACAAGATTTAGGAAAAATATGACAATTATGCGGACATCGCTTTCAAAATGTCACGCTGGCATCTCAAATACCAAGTTGTCCGACTCCCCATTGTCCTCGGTGCCTTTGGTTTGGTACCCTTTCGCTGTCTGAGCTGCGTGTAGAGGGGGCAAGGGCCCTGAGCTGATGAGCCTAACCAACCTGACTGTGCCAGGATCACCCAAACACTCTTTGCTGCATTTTTTATTTTAATCTGTACATCATATTACTAATAATAAACGACTTCGGGCAGAGTACAAATATAAGACCCGTGAAGATTCCGGGGTAGAATAGGTCTTCAGCAACCCATGCTTGCCGTAAAAGGCGACTATGCTCGTCGTAAAAGGCGACTGACGGGACCGGGTGGTCAGGCTCGCTGACTTGGTTGATCCATGTCATCGATCCCAATTGCGTGGATCGATGCTGATGCTATTAATCACTGGATTGTCTGGTCCAGACTCGATTATTTACAGACCGCCGTCATATACTTGGATATTGCTGAGTGCGGCGTTAAACAACAAACCAACCAACCAATCCTATCTTTTAGGATCTGGAGTTCACATATCTTGCTGTTGCCGATATATTCAAATAAGATAATCATTTCTGATGACCGAACACATTGCATCATGTTCCAGAGGCTGAAGGCAAGCTGTACACCAGACAGTTCCTGGAAGCCCTCGCTGAATAAATACAAGGAGCTGTATAGAAAACAAAATGGCGACATGACTGGCGATTGTTGAATCCTCTCACTCCCTAGATCAGAGCTCATGTGCCAGGAAGGCAGCGCTTTTGTAGCCAGTGTCGGACATGATCTTATATAAACTGTATGTTTTGTATATCGAATTTTGTTTCGTCTTGAAGTTAGCATTCATACTGTTTGCTTGATTGTTTGGTCCATATAGATAATATTTTGATATTCTTATGTTTAAATACGAAGTGCATGTCCTAAATTATATAACTGCATTATGTTACAGTTTGCTAGCAGCATCTAGCTCTTTTAATTTTTTTGCAAAATCAAAAAGCGACTAACTTCAAATATCTTCAAACATTTGATTGTTAACTACTGACTAGATCTCTTAAATCATAACACCCTTGTCAAAAATTTACTTTATCAATATCATACCATTAATGATGCACATGGTCTACATGTTCCTATATTTTAGACCCGTGAAGATTCCGGGGTAGAATAGGTCTTCAGCAACCCATGCTTGTCGTAAAAGGCGACTAACGGGATCGGGTCGTCAGGCTCGCTGACTTGGTTGATACATGTCATCGAACCCAATTGCTTGGGTCGATTGCCCATGATATCAATCACTGGATTTTCTGGTCCAGACTCGATTATTTACAGACCGCCGTCATATAGCTGGACTATTGCTGAGTGCGGCGTTAAACAACAAACCAACCAACCAATCCTATCATTTAGGATCTGGTGGAACCAATACAACCGCTAAAACTGTTACCACTCTTTAGCCACGGGTGTGGTTGGGAATTGTCTTTTGTATTTCAAGGCTGTTTTACCAAGTTTGATTTACCGGGTTTGGGTTTGTGCCAGACTTTTCACCAAGTTTCCATTTCTTGGTTTTGGTTTGTACCGTTTAGGATTTTGGCCACTATTTTGGAAAACCAACGTTTTGTTTAGTTTGTTTGGTTTGTTGTTTTACGCTGCACTCAGCAATATTCCAGCTATATGACGGCGGTCTGTAAATAATCTAGTCTGGACCAGACAATCCACTGATTTACATCATGAACATCGATCCACGCAATTGGGATCGATGACATGCATCAACCAAGTCAGCGAGCCTGACCACCCGATCCCGTTAGTCGCCTTTTACGGCAAGCATGGATTGCTGAAGACCTATTCTACCCCGAATCTTCACGGGCTACGTTTTGTTTGGAAGTTGATTTTGTATATTTTATCGGCAAAAGATTTCGATCATTGTAACTGCTTAAAATCCGGAAAATCCAACAATAATATCTATATGATGTAAATAATGCTGTCTCCAATATGGTGTAAAAATATGGTATTTTCATGCTATTTTCACATTCATGTATGATTTCTTTTGAAGATTAATTTAATTTGGTTTGACTTCTATACTTTTTAGGCTTTGTTTATGTTATTACAGCTTGTACCAGTCAATGTACCAGTCTCAGTCATTCAGTCAAAGTCAACTTTGTAAACCAGTGAACATTATCACAGTCGGTCTGTCAGTCAAGATTATACAGTCGGTAAATCACAATATGTTGTCAATGTTGAATTGGTCAGCCAAACTGTTTGAATGATGATTTGGAGTAATGTGAAATATGTGACATTTGTCTTTCTGTCTACGGTCAGTTGGAATTGTGACATGGTTCGAAAAATTTGTTTAACAGGTGCGATTGTTGAATAAATGACTGCATACAGAAATATTGCCTTAAATTTCATTACCTACAACTATAGGTGTTCTAATGTCAGGGAATGTCTCCCTTCTCTGTAGCAGCAGAGGGAAGCTATAAAGTTCAAGGAACAAAGTTTCCCCTCGGCTTGTCCAAGTTTGCTCTCACTTGAGAATGAGGTCAGTTTCAAGGCAGGAGCAAAGTGTTTGGCTGACAATAATTTTTGGTTTAATATAAGGTTTACAGTACATGTTGCTATAAGATATTAGTTATATGATGTGTGTGAGGAAGATACGCACACTGGAACTTTATACGTCTCAGAACAATGTAGAGTTGCGTCCCTTGGGCACGCCAGAAACCTGTGATGGTGGGTTTGAATCCCGATTGACCCAGATAATGTTTTTAGTTTTGACAGATTATATTTGCCCTGATTATGTTTATTGGTTTGTGCTCATGGGTTTCACCAAAGCAGTAAAGTCTGAGACCTGCTTCGCTACCGGCTTTCCCCCACATTAAGTTAACAAGCCGTGATATAACTGGAATGTTCAAAGCGGAGTTAAAACCCTACTCACTCATTATTTGAGGAAACCATTAACCAATTTTCAATGCTTTTCTCGTTCGTTATTCCCCAATCTTCACGAATTTATCATTTCCTGTCTAAAATTATTGAAACCACCAACAAAACTATTCAAGACATCTTCTTTGTATTGTGTTATGATAATTTTCTGTCTAATATCTAAATAATAATTATTTGATATTTACATCTTCCATTTGTTTTTCGAATTATATATGATCCTTCATGTCCAAAAAATTATTTTGTATAAACGTATTCAAAATTTAAGTAAATTATAATCGTAGAGATTTATAATTAGAAAAAACCTTCTGTTAGAACATAGGCTGTTAGACATACTGAGATTTTAGAGATACAATTAACTGCAATACTCTGCATTAAAATGACAGATAGTAGCTAAGAAACATATATTTGAATGGCACAAGTGTATAAAATCTTCATTTGGAAAGAAAGTCGTATTTATGCTAGCATGGAAAGATGACATTTACCTCAGTGTGCTTTGTAAAAAGGCCAAGCTGAGCCTGTGTTCTCTGGTGAGCACAGTAAAAACTTAGGCCAGGATTGCTTACTAGCCAGTGAGCTATTCAAAGTGTTGTGCCGGCCACATGCCACACCCCTTAACGACACTGACAGTCTGCATTGTCCAACATGGTTCAGTTATGCTGTGAGGAAGATTCAACCAGGGGTATAAGATTACAAGATATGAGGGGTGTCCCTACATTATTCACACAGTAATTCCCACATTCACGTACTTACATTCACAATCACACAAGAATGTTTTGCAAAAGTGTATTATTACAAAAACAATTAATAATTATTCGACGAAAAGGAAAGATCAAGAATGTTGATTTACACATTTTAGAAGCATTGTGTCCACGGAGATCTTGGACAGACGACTTTCTTCATGCTCGGCTTATCGGTGATTGGTTGGTGGCGATGCGGGACCTGCCTGAATGTATGTCCTTTTGTCCATCTGGCATGGTCTGTCTGATCAAGGAGCAAACCGTGATACACATGCCACTCCAACCTTAAGTAACGAAGTAATAGCAATGTCAGTAAAGGACAGTATAATAATCATTGCAATTTATAACTTATCACTTCAAATACAAATACAATTACATGTTATTATCATGTATTTCAGTATTTAAATGTTATACCATTAAATATGGACTTCTAGCAACCTAACGTTACCATGAGGACTTTCAGCACATGTGAGATGTGCATGACACGGCTGCAAGATGGGTGTGATGATGTAGTGTTTGTTTGTTTTGTAACGCCACACTCAGCGATATTCCAGCTACACGATGACAGCCTGTAAATAATCGAACGTGGACCAAATAATCAAGATATTGATAACATAAGTAGCGATGGTCTCTGTCGGGGTACGACGACATGCAATCAACCAATTCATCGAGGCTGACAATCCGATCCATACATCCACATCATGAAAATGAATCTTCCTCAATATACATTAAATAAATTAGGTGTAATTTGCATCGCGTGTGAAACTATCCCTTGCATATCCATCTAAGGTGGCAGCAAAATAGTAGGCATGTGTAAAAAGTGAACATAGAGGTTGTTAATTACTGTGCATTACCAATTACTCTTGAAGATAAACTGTCACATGACTATACCATCTGTCACCATCCTATACTTTTCTTTACATAGGTGTAAAGAATCAGGTTTAATGGTATAGTGATCTTACCAATCAGGAAAATGAAGCAAGCAATGAGCTTGAGAGAAATAGATACAATAATGAAGGAATAATACGTCACGGCAGTCTGTACATAAATGAGGCAGGCAGAGCACTATGGTCACTGGCTGAAGGTACACACCATGTGATTACAGACACAAATTTTCACCAGTACTAATAATAGTATGGCGACTTCTGACTAAACGTGGTGGCCAGATGTCTACACAACATTTACAACACTTCTAATTTCAAAGTTACTTTTTTCTTCTTGTTTAGATATATTAAAACGAGAGTTGGGGAATCAGATTGCTTAGCAGAGGGACCACTGTACACGACAAACCCACACAACACAAGATCTGAGCGAATAAACAGTCAGCTTATTAGTATTTATACCAATTCTAGCTACTACAGATAATCTCATTTGCTTAATAAACTCACGATAAAGTTGTTATTGTGAACTTTAGTGGTGCAATCTCGACACAATTACATAATTTAGTTTGACCGAGGCATTGATGATAAAGGTGTTTAAAGTGTAGTAAGAGTAATAGCTTACTAGTTGCTAGTACCAGGGCTGGGCAAAGGGTTTCTAAGCCCAACTTCAACTATGGGCCATAACAAAGTGAACTAGTCAATGTAGTGCATTGTTTGAGTAGTTAGTTGCAAGTGTATTTGGTCTGTTGGGACCCTTTGTATATTTGTGACAGCCAGTTGAACGAGATGGGTGTCAAAATGGACACAGAAATGGAAAAGAATGAGTACAGAGCAGTCATGAAGCTTTTGATTTCAGAGAAAAAGTACTCCCCACGAAATTATTGACCACATGTCACAAGTGTATGGGAATAAGTGCCCTAGCTATTTCACTGTTAAACGTTGGGAAGCTATGTTTAAGGCTGGGAGAACAAGCCTTGATTGTGACCCTAGGTCTGGACGTCCCTCAACTTCCATTAATGAAGATTCAATCAAGGAAATAGAAAAATGTATACCATCAGATCACCATTGCTGGACTTGAGGGATACACAGGTCTAAGCCATGGATTCTTGAAACTATTATTCATGAACAGAAACCGATGAATAAGATATCTGCTCACTGGGTGCCAAAGTTTCTATATTCTGATCTTAAGGGCAAAAGAGCTGACATTGCTAGAGAACATTCAGAGCTAATTGAGGAGGATTTCGTCAAATTCAAAAAGAGATTAGTAAAGGATGATGAAACATTGGTCTTCCTCTACGATTCCGATTCAAAACGTCAATCCATGGAATGGCACCATTCAACTTCTCATGCACCAAAGAAATTCAAGTCTTCAAGATCAGTGAAGAAAATGATGGCCACTGTATTCTGGAATGCAAAGGGTAAGATCCTTGTTGATTACTTAGAAAGTCAAAAGACGATTACCGGTGCCTACTATGCTTATTTGCGTCATCGTCTGAACGATTCTATCAAAGAAAAGCAGGAAGGAATGCTGACTACTAGAGTTCTATAACTTCATGACAATGCCAATTCTCACACACATCGACTTGCGAGGGCTGTTG